CCAAACATTTCTCAGGTACTGGTGACATCATTGATAGCAAGGCACGCGTACCATGGACTCAGTTCATTCATTGAAGAAGGATCTGATCGTGAACATATATAGATATTGTGTATGTAGTTTACGCTATTTATATACAGAAAACGTTTTCATAGTGTGAAAACGCATGTTTGTATGATTTCTACACATCACTCGATGAACCATTAAAACGCGTAGAAATTACATAAAACACGTGTTTTCACACCGTAGAACTTCGTTTTCAAATATTTATTTGGACTCTACCCGAAGACACTTGAATATATCTTTCAGTATTAGCGAGAAAAGCCCATTCAAAGACCAAAGGTGCTTTTATGGGATGATTGTTTAATGAAAATATAAATAGACTTGTTGCTTTGTGGCCGTTAACTCAAGCTGAATAAAATAACTTTGAAAATTTCTTTGAAAGTAGGATTTTAAAATGACTCTTGAAAAACAGATTCGTCATGTGTTCGTGGAAGGAAGAAAATTGAGTTGTTTGAATTCTTCATCTATCGTAGTTCAGATATGGCATAGAAGAGAAGTTTAGGCATCGGACTCAAGAAACTCTATTCCTGGGTGTAATATTTCGTTAGAACATGTGATTTGACCTGTATATACAAGAAGAGACTGAATGCTTCACCAGTAATTGTTCCAGTTTTGCATTGAAGAATAAATGCGATGAAGAAAACAATTTTTCGCTGCTTTTATTCTGCTTGAATGCTTCGGTAAAAATTCGATGGGGAGAGGAGAAGAAAATATTTTGCGCCTCTTTTATTTTCAGCGCTTCGTCGCTTATGAAGTGGATTGTGTGTTTTTGAGTTGTAAGAATGTTGAAAATGAATGAAACATTGACTACCACTTCTCGTGCCAATGTTAGTTTTCATTAAAAATTCTTTAATTCTCAATTTATCTATGTTCAGTGATTGAAGAATATGAGTTTCTATAGGTTTTTTTTCCACGCATCTGTCTTTATTAGAAGATCATTCATTTTGTCATGTGAATGGCTTACATTTTTGAATATACTTGAGTTAGTTTAAAGTTATCTTTGACATTCGTATGATTGCCTGCCAAATTATATCGACGAACTAGTAGACTATCTTATTTATTTGCATAAGTCTTACATCATTTACTGGAAAATATATGATTGTATGAAAGTTAACAGTATCCCCATCTGGAAATCTTTTTATAACATACTATGTTAATTACTCTACAAAAGCTATAGATCAATATGAGTTAGATTATTGAGAAACAAAGATTCATTTTGTTGGTAACGAGAAATTCGTCTGAAACATTATCATTATTGCTAAAATTGTTTATGAAATTTTGTTCAACTATGGATTTATCCGATGTTTGAGTGCCTCTCCATCAATTACATGGAACCTCTACGAATTGATTTACGCTTACGGTCGTATAGAGATAGAACAATGTTTTTTATTAGTCTATATACAAAAACCTATTTTCCTATTTTTTTTTTTTTTTTCATGTCAATATAAAATAATTGAACTAGCGAAAAAATAACAAAGCATAAAACGTTTTTTTTTCTATATATCGTACGTTTTTTGGCATCGAATTATTTATTATTAAAAAAGAGATTATGGATGAGTTATACTTGCGCCTAAAAAACGTTGAATGATTATTTTTTTTTCCCGTTCTGTTGTTCTTAAAATAGTTAAGTCTATAACCTAATATAGGACAAATCGTGAATATACGTGTTTGAATAACAAATTGTTAACAAAAGTCTTTGCTTGCGTAAACACCACTTTTTATAAATAATACAAAAAGACTTATGTTATTGAAGAACAACTTTTTGTAAATTCAACTAATATATATCACTTTTTGACTAATACAAGCTCAGTCTAGATCCTGAGATAATAGAGAATCGACAAATTAAACCTTGTAATGAAACATATTTTTTAGTCATTTTCAATGAAACATTTGTCTGATATGGTTGGTATAGAATCATGTTCTCTGACATTTCTAAACAATTATAGAAGCATTGACATTTTCTAAATATATGTAGTTCGTTTTAACAAATTATCAATAATTCTCTCATTAACCTATCATACACGATTTTTAAGAATCATTTTCAATCAGATACGATCTTTATCTTGCTTGATCGCCTTTCTAATGTTTAGATTGATACACATAATAGAAGTTCAGGGATTTGAATTATGATATATTGTCGAACTCTGGAGACGTTATTTATTGTCCAAACTGCGTATTTTTTTGAGTCTAACAAAAGATACAAGGTTTTCTTTAGAGTTAGACGCTGTTTGTTTATTTTTTCTGTCATATAATTGTTAGATAATATCCTGTCATTTCTCACGTTGATTCTCTCGGGAATTATAACTCATGTTACATAAATAGTTAAATTACAAACAAATGATATTCATAAATATTAGAACATTAGGTGTAATATTATATTTCACAAATAGTCAAATAAAAATAGCAATTTATCTAAAGTCGAAAGAGTATATGATAGAGATTAAAATATGCTCTATTTATTTATCTGTTTTTTTTTGTATTAGCTTGAATTCAAATGAATAAGCATAAATTGTACGAGATGAGAATCATAGAAACTATTTATTATTGTATTATACGAAAGATTCTACTGAAAATTTCTCTATTCTTAATTCAAATTGTTATAAAATTTTACTTTGATTTAGTTAATTATAAAGTAGGCAGTAGATTGTAGTTTATAAAATAAGAAAACTTTTGTTTATCGACAAAAATGTTAATTTTTATTGAACATACGTCAAAATTTTATTCTAATAAGTGTCGATATTTTAAAGTTTACAGTATGATAGATACCATAATAAAACAATTGAATTAATTCAACTTATCATTGCACACTGCGGGATGGATTTTTTTTTTCTTTTTTTTTCTTTACTCTTTTTTTTTTCTTTTTTTTTTTGTACACTAATACAACAGATTATGAAAACAATTATTCCATTAAATACAAAGAGAGAGAAGAGAATGTTTGTTTTGTCAGTATGAATAACAAATCAGTTTTTAAACACGTGATTATATGGTGTATATTTGTGCATGTTCAACTATTCATCATTTTTATATTCGCTCTCGAAACCTCGGCATAAAAACTTCTTTTTTTTTTCGAGTAAATTTCATTACGTACACATTCTGTTTCTCGCTTTCAAGATGTTTATAATCAAATTTTTGTGTCTATATGTGACATCCACATTTATTGTTCGTCGATGGTTGACATAGAATAATTGTTTTGTCCATTTCATTATCATTTTACCATACCGGCAAAATAAGAGAGAAAGAGTTTCTACAATCAAAATAATTGTTATCTCGTCGTTGTCGTCGTTTATAAACTCTATTTATAGTACAACAATTTTTTGAGCGATAGAATCGAGAAATACAAGAGAAGAAACAAAAATAATATAATTGTCAAAACATTTTCAGTTTACTTAACGTCACACGTCACGGCTTTTTCTTTCTTTTTTTCTTTTTTAACTTGTAAAGATTTAGTTAAATTAATCATATGGAGAACAATGTACTGAGTCTTTTATTACAATCTATACAAAGAAAAGAAAATATTTCTCTTGCATAGAATATTAGACTTTGAGGCTTGTTATTATTATTAGATCTCTTTATCTACAATAGTGTACGAGCAAAGATATTATTGGATGTTTGGTATTTGTAGAACAGAATATCAAACTCTATTTTCTGAATATGCTTGATCACACGTGGTTAATTTCTTTCATTTTGAATTATATTCTAAAAGTCTTTTAGATAAAAAGAAAAAAACACGTCTAACAAAAACTTCGTGTTTTTTTACTTCTTTGTACCAATACATGACAATTTTAGAGAAACAAAAATAGGATGATAAACATTTAAGCATGCTGGCAGAAATTATCAAAATTTTTGTTATCAATGGGAGTTTTTGTCTGTAAGCTCGAATCATAGATTTATTAGTTTGTGTTATGTATGTAATGACTAAATTGATAATTATGAACTGGACCTGTTTTGACTTACCATCTGCTGTGAGTAACATAAACATGGAGAACAGAAAGTGTTTTTTTTCCTTATGTCAATGTATCTTGGTATCAATAAAATAAAGTCCCAAAGTGTGTATACTTTTTTACAGCACATGCCAATCCAGACCGATTGTAAAGAAAAAAGTAGCATTCACTGTCAATATACGAGAATAATTTTCTTCTTTCTCACGTATCTAAAATGATTTTCCAAAAATCTCAATAAAAATCGTTATACGTTTGTTTTTATTCTATTATTAGGTTTTTTTAAACAAAAAAAAAAACGAGTATTTTCTTGTACAATTTTTTTGATTAATATATCTTGCAGAAAAAAGAAAAATTCCTCCAACACAACTGTTTTCTTCTACTATTTTTTCTATTTCACTTAAATGTATATATACTGAAGAGTTATCTATTTCGCACGTGCTTGCTCAGAGAGTTTTAATTACAAGGACAAAAGAAACAAAAAAAAGGAAAGAATTTCTTATTATATGTAGTAAATATGTACTACTGGAATAAAAATAAGAAAACGACGTAAAGAAAATACTCTTAGGCTATTAGGAAGATGATATCTCTACTTCTCTCTCTCTCTCTCTCTCTCTCTCTCTCTCTCTGTATGTGTCAAGAGTTACAATGCAGAGTTACAGAGAGAGAGAGTGTGAGAGAAAGAGAGAGAATGACAAGAGAAAAACAACAAAGAAGAAAAAAAAGTGAAAAAAGAAAAAGAAAAATGAGAACTAAAAGCCGAAAACGTATAGACTGGAACTAATCGTATATAAAATTATAAAAATAAGAAGAAAAGGCATTAAAATAAACGAGAAAGAACGAACCGTTTTGTTTTACACTCATCATCTGATTATTTTACAAATCTATTTTGAATCATGTAACATCTGTCTTATATTATAAATAGAAAGCAGCTTTGTTCATTGTTGTTGTTAACATGATCATATTGTTTAATTAATTGATTCCACATACAATCCAATTAGAATGAATGTAAACAATAATAATAATAATAATAATATTCCAAGAAAATCAATTGTTGAAGGAATGGCAAAAACAGGTAGAGTTAGATAGTTGAGAAGGTCATGTAGTCTTTCTCTCATTCAGAGTGTATACTATAACACTAAAACAGATTATATCTGTAAATAGAGATTACCCTAATCATTATGCCAGATAAGACTTGCGATATCAGCCTTTCATATCGTAATTTCTTGCGGATGATATTTAACTACTTAGTAATTTAGTTACAAATAAAGATATAAAATGCACACATGCAAAAAAAAACAACACAAATCGTAAAAAAATTCTTTACACACGAGTAAAACTGTTATAATGGATAATGTCTTAATCGTTTAAAAAATTCAAAATTTTTAACTTAAAATTAAACGTATTTTCTGTTAAGATAGGAAAAAACAAAAAAGTGTACCATAGTGGTTGATGTAGGTGTGTTTTTTTCCATTTACTATCTTTTTTTCCATACACAGACAGTATATTTGACTATAATTTATGATTAGTTAAAAAGTTATTATTAATTTATTTGAATGATCAATTTTAAATATAAATTCGTTGTCAACTATTGTTCTGACTCGCATATCATCTTTCAATTATAGTTTCGTTTTGTGCAATTTAACACGTTATCATTTTCAAAATAAACTGATGTTGTTATTATTCTTTCTAATATATACAGTTGAAACGTGTATCTGAAACATTTAGTGTTTGCATGTGTATATGTGTGTATAATTTCTAATAGCAATATAAATTACATTTTTCTTAGTAAATTGATTTTTTACATAAATTGCTAAATCATTTTAGTAAAATGAGCAAATAATTGAACCATAGTACGACATTTCTCTTTTTGTTATGCATCATTAATGGAACAGGTGAATAGTTTTGCCAAACATGTTTAATATTCATATATTCTATATATATTTTTTTTTTTAAAATTTTCTTATTATTCAAAAGCCGCCAATCTTTAAATTAAAAATATTCCATCATCTATTATTCATAAGCTAAGATTATGTCATGTCAAATATTGTTATTTGTGCGTGTTAACATTTTTGTTTTTGTGTCTAAACTTTTACATATTAATTTGTTAACTATGAATATATCTACAAACCATACTAGTAATCATATATTATGGCTGGGAAAAAAAAAGAGAAGCAAAAAGCTTTAACATAGAACAAAATAATCTGTTCATCTACTAGTGCAAGATACTGTCTATATATAAGAAGGCTCACGCAATAAAACATGCAAAAACCATAATCATCTATCTGTAAAGAAAAAGTTTTTCTTGAAAAGAAGACAATACTAGCGTTATTTGTTGTCATCAAAATTTTTCATCTACTGGATGATGGTAACTAAATTTTTGTTTTTTACAATTTAATAATTAAAAGTCTACTCTTTTTTTTTTTACTTTAATAACAGGTGTGAAACATTTTTAACTTGACATACAGATTTGATGTCATAAATCCGATTATATCAAGATAAGAGGATTTTTATTCAGTTTTTTAATTAGAATAGAACTTTTTATTCTATAAGTTTATCTATGATGATTCCATTCCTCTTTCTTGATTAATAAAACAGAACCCACTTATTCAAATCAAAAAATGCCATCTTTATATCATGATTTAACTGTGTCATTACACTTTTCACTGATCACAGATGGCAATTTGTTTTATTTGCATATATTTACAAATCAATTTAAATAGACCAAAAAATAACAAAAAAAAAAGTAGAGGAAAAAAACCTTAGTATTGAGATAAGATTTACCTGATTTCTTTTTAAAAAAAAACAATATATAATTAGAGAAAATAAATTGCAGTCAATTATTCGAACAATGTACGTTGTATTAGAAAAATCAGTCAACAGTTTTCATGTAAATTAACCTGTACCATTTATAATCTTTAACTGATAGTGAAATTGAATATAAGTTAAATTGCCATTCAAATCTATATACATATGATTTATTTTTTGTTTTGGGTTTATAAACATTCAAAAGTAAATATGTTTAAATAGTTAAAGTGGGATATGAATTAAGCATGCATGGGTTATGGCATAGAAATAGACTATTACATATATTTACATTATGTTTCATTATTCGTTTACTATTTTATACAGCATAAACTGTAATGCGTTTAAATAGATCAAAATTAGAATAGTTAGTTTAAATATGAAATATTCTCTACAGATTTAGAAAAATATATTTATCTTGTTTTTTATTTTAGCACCTGCTTGTGCTGCATTTGTACAAGCAATAAGTCTCTTTCGTGAATCACCAACATTACAACTTAATCATCAAGAGCAAAATAATCAGACTACAAATAATTCAAGTTTATCAAAATTATCCAGGCAATTACCACCACTAACATCTCAAAAATCGAATCCTCTGCCAATGACAAACGAAGAACCATCGAGTCCAAATTTTGATCCTAATAATCTTTCTACTAACAGTAGTCTTCGAGGAAATCAACAACGAACTAATAGTTCATATAGTACACATGATAATAATGCCGATGATACAACATCATCTACAAATACATCAAGTTTTGTACAGAAAAAACAAGCTATTGCACGAAAAGGTCTAATTTTTATTAAATTTAATTGATTAATTATTCTTTATATTGTATTTATTTTATTTTAGGTGCATTACGGCAAAAAAATGTTTATGATGTTAAAAATCATCAATTTTCAGCAAGATTTTTTAAAACACCCACATTTTGTAGTCATTGTAAAGATTTTATATGGTATGTTTCTATTGACTATTATCGACATTAGAATCAAATAACGTAAAATATTTATTCTAGGGGTTTTAGAAAACAAGGATTTCAATGTCAAAGTAAGAACTGAAAATTTTACTTTCAATTTCAATCTTAACTTTGTCGTAAGTTCTTTCACAGAGAACAAACTGCTGCCCTGTGACTTATAGAGGTATTTCTACACTTATAGCATAACTTAAAGTAATCATTAAACTTTAAAACTTCTTATAAATAGACCTTGTCAAAAAGCTGAAAATTTCAAATTCTTTGTACAAATCTACTCTATATTATTTCAAACGTCGCTCATGATAGAATATATTGTTATGATCATGTTCCGATTACCGTATGTATCTATTGTAGTTTGCTCGTTAGTAGTACACAAACGATGTCATGAATTTGTATCATTTGTATGTCCCGGTGCAGATAAAGGAGCTGATTCTGATGCAAGTTTGATCATTTATCATTGACTATATATATTTTTTTTTAATTTAAAATTTCATCAATATTTTTTAGGCTCCAACTAATCATCACAAATTTTTAATTCATACTTATACATCACCGACATTTTGTGATCATTGTGGATCTTTACTATATGGTTTAATTCATCAAGGATTGAAATGTCAAGTAGGTTTCTAGAGAGATGAATGTCTCGAATATCTAAGAAAAGAAGTTATGTTTTTATTTTCGATTAGGCATGCGATATGAATGTTCATAAAAAATGTTCAATTGTCGTACCAGAATTATGCGGTGTCGATCATACGGAAAGACGTGGAAGAATTAAATTAAGTATACATGCCGAAAAAGATAAATTAATTGTACAAAGTATGTTAGTGAATAAATACGTAGAGAGTTTTTTGTTGTTATACCATTGAGTTTTCTGTTGTGTTTTTTTCTTTTTTAGTCATAGAAGCAAAAAATTTAATTCCAATGGATCCAAATGGTCTCTCCGATCCGTATGTGAAAATTAAACTAATACCAACAGATTCAAAAAAACAACATCATGGAAAATGTAAAACAAAATTAAATTATAAAACATTAAACCCACATTGGAACGAAACGTTCACAATGTAAGATTTTAATTAAAATTAGTTCAATCTTTATTTTTTGAATGTTAAAACATCAATTATAAAATTCAAAGTTAACACATTTTAAAGACAAAAAAACTTCTAGTTAAATGTTAGCTAAAAGATCTTTAATTTTTCATAGAATCTATAAATTATCATGGAACTATTTAATCGCATTTTTCACTGATCTATTTTTAGTGATCTAAATGATGACGATAAAGATAAGAGACTTTTGATCGCTGTTTGGGATTGGGATCGGACAACACGAAATGATTTTATGGGATCATTATCATTTGGTAAATCAATTTTAAAGACATCAACTATATGATAATGAATTAAAATTATATATTAATTTAGGTGTAACAGAGTTGCTAAAAGAACCAGTTGAAGGATGGTTTAAATTATTGACACAGGAAGAAGGCGAATTTTATAGTGTATTGGTACCGAGTGAAGAAGGATTAGCCGTAATGAAATTAAAACAAAAATTTGAAGTAATTATATCTCAAATTATAAACGAAAATATAAATCAATGATTAGCTAATTCTTATTCAGAAAGCAACATCAGTACGTGAACATCCTGTTGAAGAAGCAGAAAAAATAATGCAACGATCACAAAGTCAAACAAATGCAGTGAAAGTGACAGATTTCAATTTTATTAAAGTACTAGGAAAAGGAAGTTTTGGAAAAGTGAGTGTATATAGTCTAGAAAAAATGAGTATATATTTATTTTACAAAAATAAATTTTAATTTTATTTAGGTTGTTTTAGCTGAACGTAAAGGCAGTGATGAATTATATGCGGTTAAAATTCTAAAAAAAGATATTATTGTACAAGATGATGATGTTGAATGTGTTATGATTGAAAAACGTGTATTAATGTTGCAGGATAAACCATTATTTCTTGTACAATTACATTCATGTTTTCAATCTGTAGTATGTATACAAACCATCTATAATATAATAAACATAAATTCATAAGAAATGATTTAATTATTAAAGGATCGATTATATTTTGTCATGGAATTTGTTAATGGTGGAGATTTGATGTATCGTATTCAACATGAAGGCAAATTTAAAGAACCTGTTGCTTGGTAATTATCTATTTTTCAATTATATACAACTAAATGTAATTTTGATAAAATTACTTTCTAGTTTTTATTCGGCTGAAATTGCTGTTGGCCTATTTTATCTTCATAACAAGGGAATTATATACAGGTGAAAAAAAATATAATTATATCAGTCGAAGTGTCTCATACAGTAATTACGTGTCATGTTGTAGAGATCTAAAATTGGACAATATATTATTGGACAGTGAAGGACACATTAAAATAGCCGAGTAATGAATAATTTAAATCATATCAATCATGAAATTCTCATAGATATCTCATTTAGTTTTGGAATGTGTAAAGAAGGAATTCTTAATGATAAAAAGACCTCAACTTTCTGTGGTACTCCAGGTTGGTAGATATCTGTCATATAACTAGTTGTTCATTTTTATCATATTATACTAAATTATTTTGTATTTAGATTACATTGCTCCAGAAGTACGTATGATTAAAATGATGCCACTACTTGTTTGTACCATTTATTTGTTTTTAGATTATTCTATATCAAAAATATGGAAAAACGGTAGATTGGTGGGCTTATGGAGTACTGTTATACGAAATGTTAGCTGGTCAAGTATGTACCATCAATATATCTTAATAATTCATTTTTATAACAATATGATCCTATGTTTTAGCCTCCGTTTGATGGTGAAGATGAAGAGGAATTATTTACAGCCATAACTGATCATAATGTATCTTATCCCAAATCAATGACAAAAGAAGCTGTTTCCATATGTAAAGGGGTATGTATGATATGCACAGAATTTAAAATTTAATTTTTATCTACTTCGAATATCGTTTATTTGTTTCTTTTTAAGTTGATGACAAAATTACCTCAAAAGCGTTTAGGATGTGGTCCTGATGGCGAACGTGATATTCGTGATCATATGTTTTTTCGTCGTATCGATTGGATACGAATTGAAGCAAGGGAAGTTCAGCCTCCCTATAAACCTAAGATTGTAAGTATATTAGAGTTGAATAGTTTTTTTCCTTTATACCATCAACAGAAACCTTTTCATACATTCGTTTCCTCATGCATGTTTACTCATCTAGACAGTAGAATTTAGAAATAATTTATTGTATAGTTAGTTACAAGCAAAAGTAATGCATAGATAAACTAGTGCATTGTGTAATAGAGTGCACAGTTTCCCGTTCCTGAACAAAGGGTACACTATGACCTGAGATTCCTTTGTACTATAGCAAATATTAAACAAAAAGAAGTAGAAAGGTTTTTATTTTTATGTAAATACCTGCAACTGTGATGTTTATGTTCGTGTGTCTCCTATTCTAGAAAAATGCTCGTAATGCAGAAAATTTTGATACCTGTTTTACGAAGAATCCATATAAACAGACAACATGTGATCAATTAGTTTTGGCTAATATAAGTGACGATACATTTCAAAATTTTTCATGTGTTAATCCATATTTTATTAATCTCGATAATAGGATATAACATCGTGTATAGTCAATTTATTTTCGTACAAAGTTTCTTGTATTTTCCAATACGTAAACTATATACGTAATCCCTTAAAAAAGTGAACATCGTTTCTTTTTTTTTGTTATTATGTGCATTTTTTGTTTTCGACATCGTTGCATGAACCCGGTAATTATTATTCGAGAAGTTTTCTTTCAAGTAATTATTATAGTCTCAAGTACTCCCAATTTGTTATATTTCATATTCTTATTTTGAGTGAACATAACAACTACACAAACATCACGTTTTCCCAATTATCCTAACTCATCCGTTTCAAATAGAAGGTCATCCGATAAGTTTTGACTAATTTGAGAACGAAAAGAGCTACACAACTTGGGTTTTTATCATTCGATAGACAAGAATTTAAACCATCTTTTCATAGAGAAGTTTGATAAATTGTTTTTGATCGTAGTCCTGCATGTGTTCTTTAAAATAAGAATCAAACCAAACCTTTATTTTCAACTGTTTAAATATGGCATATCAAAACACATATCAGTCACGATAAGTGTGGTAGTGATGTCTTTTATTCTGGAAAATATTCAGAAACCAAATGAAAACATATTCATACAAAAATGATAAGTTTTTGACTAGTTTCATATCTTACCTAAGATCCATTTGAATTGTTTGAAAATTCCAGGACTACCTGTTTGACCTGACTAGTCTCTAGAATCAGATAGCACTACAAAAATTCTTATAAACTCAGTGGATTTTTCAAAATCGATTTTCAGAAAAATCTTGGAAACAAACGTTTTCTTCGCTTATTTCATTATTCACTCATACGTATCAGGTCGAAGTAGATACGTCCTGAAATTTTCAAACAATTCAATTGGATCTTAGGTAAGATATGAAAATAGTCGAAAACTTGTCATTTTCGTATAAATACCTCTACACCACCACACTTTTGACTGATAGCCTATGTTCCATATGTTTTGATTTGCCATATTTAAACAGTTGAAAATAAAGGTTTGGTTTGATTCTTATTTTAAAGAACACATGCAGGACTATAATCAAAAACAATTTTCAAACTTCTCTATGAAAAGATGGTCTAAATTCTTGTCTATCGAATGATAAAAATCCAAGTTGTGTAACTCTTTTCGTTCTCAAATTAGTCAAAACTTATCGGATAATCTTCTATTTGAAATGGATAATAGCCGTACATTTCCTCATGTTAAAAATTAATAATCAATAGAGAAAATCCAAACAGTAAGTGAGCAAAATGTGTTCGACAATTATTTAAAAAAAAAATTTTCAAAACAATCAGGTAGGGTTCTAGTCTCTTCTGCTCGTTTTTTTCATTTAATCTATTTTTTTAAAAATAAATAAAACTATCATAGAAAAAGTATTATTTTGCTTTTTCAAGACTGTCTTTTTCTCTTACAGCGCTTTTGTATTTCGCCAGTCGCTTTATTTCACTTTTTATTTTTTGTTTTTATTAATGAGAATCTTTTGCTGTTATATCATTATTGTTGTTGCTTTTGTTGTTGTTATTGTTGCTTTTCTTAACACTCTATACATGCTCATATCTTCATTTCTATATTTTCTTTTGTTCTTTGTTCTTTGTTCTTGTTCTCATTCATTAATATAATTATAATATGTGACAAAATAAAAGAATGCGACTTATTTCTAACAGAGTTTAGATAATCTATTTGTTTAGAATGGTACGAGAGATACGTCGAATTTTGATCGCGAATTTACAAATGAAGCGTTAAATTTTACGCCAATCGATAAATTATTTATTATGAGTATGGATCAAACAGATTTTGAATCGTTCTCATTTTTAAATCCATTATTTATTGCAACATCGTCATCATCAACGGCTCTCTAATTAACTCGAATTTACAATGGGTCACCTATTTTATTATAATATTTCTTTGAACATAACGAATTATTTACTACTTACAAACACATTTTTACGTTCTAATAGATAAAACAGTTAGTTCTTTCAAAACGAATTTCGTCTCGTTGTAAATTTAAAATGTTTTTTTGCGTAAAAGTGTCGTGTCAACGAATATACAAATTTATTGACGTTTTGGATGGTTCAAATCAGAATTAACTCTTGTATTTTGTATAAATAGACGGTTTAAATATATTATTTACTTTACAACTTTCATTAGCGAGCTGATAATTCTCTCGCAAATCAAAATAATAAAACAGTTATCAAATAAAACTCGGTTCTTATCACCGACAGAAAAATAAAATTCATTTAGAGTCGTGGAAAAGTGCTTTTTCATACTCAGCACACTTGATAATCCTGAAGATTTTCTATTTTTGACGAGGAGTACTATCAAAAGTTTAACAAAAATTTTGAAACTAATATTATTTTCCTATGGAAATTTTTTGCGCCATTTTTTGTTCGAAAAAATTTCCTAAACTTTTGACAGTATCCTCGCCAAAAATAGAAAATCTGCTGGATTATCGAGTACAAGCATTTTTCCTCGACTCTAAATGAACTTTAACAATCGGCCCACCCACTTTTTCCAGTAATAACGGTTTCGTATATAGTAAAAACGTATTTCCAGTTCGATTCTGGGTAGAATCAGATACTTTTTTCATTAAAATCTGCACCCTCAAAACAACATCCATATGCTAAGTAAAACGTGTTTTTCTCAATTTTCTTACGCTCATACGACTAACTAAATACTCGATTAGATAACTCTTGAAATTCTATACAAAATGAACTAGTCAGAATATCTTGAATGGTGAGGCCAGTTATCAAAGACATACAAAAGAAGCGTTAGAGTACGAAAAACAGCTCCCGAAGACTTTAGTCATTTTTTGTC